GCCCTCGACCCGCATGATCACCGCAGAGGGCTCATCAAGCACAGCTGGAATTCGCGTGTCGCCACACGTTTGCCTCCGGCCATCACGCGCGCGCGGGCAAACATATGTTTTACTTTCTGTGTTAACAGATGTTTACTGTTTGCGAATGTGTTAACTGAAACAGCCTGGGCTCAGACGGCCTCTCAGATGGCAAGGCTAGACTCTGCGACTAACGGTCTGAGAAGGTTTGATATGGTGACATGGCACGATGGGTTGATGATGTGGCAGTCGCGCATCGCTGGTGCTTTTGGTCCTGTGGGTTTGGAGCTTTTGCAGCAGTATGTCCGGCAGCTTCGGTTGTTGTCAGGTCTTGGTGCTAACAGTGCTTTGGTGGCTCTTGCGTCCTATCAGGTTGACAGAGCAGGAACAGGCGAACCGATTGCGATCTTCACCTGAGGTTGTGGCTTTCATGCAGTTCTTGGAGGGCCTGTCTGTTGTCGACCGTAGCACGGTCTTCGCGATGATCGGAGAGGAACTATATCTGTATCGGTCGAGTGGGACTTCGCTTTTTGATCGTGCCCTGCTTCAAGAAGAGGTCTTGACAGGCTTGCAAACTATTAGGGAAAGTCTCGACCCCACCTTGAGCGTTCTTGAAACGTTGACTGAGGGTCCACCAGGTCGGGTGGTACCTGTGCAGGTGCGTGAGCCAGACCTTGCGCTTCCTCTTGAGCCGGAAAGACCTCATAGAGGTCGAAGAAGGCGCCGAGCACAGGCGAGGTCACCTGTCCAAGATGCCGGTGCGCATGAGATGGTTGCTTTGACCCCGGTGTGGTGCTTACCCTTGGTCTGTGCCAACGTGGTGACTTGGTTTCCTGACAGTGGCCTCCAAGAACCAGAAGCTGAAGCTCAGGTTCAACGGCCTCGTCAGAGGCGTCGGTTTGAAAGTGTTTATCCACTTTCTGTGACTGACTATGCGAGGGCGATGAATGAGATGGACCGCAAGATGGGCTATGGGACAATGGAAGATAGAGTACTGAATGCTGAGCGTAGTGGATTGGCTTCAACGTCTGCCCTGCACGGCGACTGGCCTTGCCCGAATCCGCAATGCGTGAACAGTCGGCGATTGGTCTTTGCAAAGAAGACATGCTGCCCTTTGTGCAAGTCAGAACGCCCGGTTGACTTTTTGGATCCGCTACTTCTTCTCCTCGGTTGTCAGGTGACACACACATTCGGTTGGAACGGGTGTCCGGGGAGACTGCTGCTGTTTCTCCTCGGTTGTCTGATGCTTCACACAGTCGGTTGGAACCAAGGGAGCGTGCTACCGTTTCTTCTCGGTCGTCTGATGACTCACAACATCGGTTGGAATGGTTGTCCAGGGAGCGTGCTGCTGTTTCATTGGTTGTCTGATGATTCACATCGGTTGTCTTCAGGCGAGCAGCCTCGGCGGGACAGATTGGCTAAAAGGCCACTTACTCCTCCGAAAGCCATGCCGGTGCCGCGGAGCAAACGAGTGGCAGCAGTTGCTGACGATGCGACTTTGCCTGGAATTACTCCGAAGTCGGGCCTCTTGGCTCCTCCACGTTCACTTGAAAGTGTGGCTGAACCAACGCATGGGCCTGAGCGTGATGCCCGTGACCGACGTGTTTTGGTGCCTTCGGGACGGCCAGTGTTTGGAGAAGGTCGACGGCTCTTTCACCAGCCTGAAGGAACAGAAAGTGACCTTGGAGGCCGCGGCAGCTTCTCTTTCTGCTCCTTCGTCGGGTGTTTCGACCTCCTCGCGAATACCTCGTGGAGATGATAAAGGTGCTGGCGGGAGTCGCCTGGCTAGGGCAACTACGACCATGGCTAGGACTACTGAGAGCCGGGGATCGGATCGTTTCACTTCGTCTCACAAGATTGCAGGCGGAGCGAGCCTGGAATACATGCTGAGGTGTGATTTAGTGAGGGCGGTTGATGACCCTTTTGGATTCCCTGTTTTCCGCCGGGACGATGGTCTTCTGGCTTTCCCTTTGGGTGTCCCTGGTCTTGGATGCTCAGATTTTGGTGGGTGTGAATGGTCATTTCAGGAGGTCTCCCAAGATTTGGTTACGCCTCGGCCGGTCTTGGAGCTGATGGGTTTGAACCAATCTATCCCCAACTGCCTTACGGTCTCCCCGACGATTCCATTCAGTCTTTATGACTGGTGTCAGGAGGTCTCAGGTAATGGCAGAAGTGCGGTTGTGCCTATAGGACTGGCGTTGGTGCAGGACTACGCTCAATTGGTGATCAACAAGAAGCTCAAAGGCCGGGGTTTGATGACGTCGTATTCAGGGACTTCGAGGGCAACATGGTCTCGATTCCGGTTTTCGACGTCCCATTTTTTGTTGGAGGGCCGTTGGGTCCTTGTGTCGAAGGAGGTTGGATTGCAGAACTGTGGGTCTCTTATCGAGGAGAGCCGGAAAAGGTTTGTTTTGTCTTGAGTTTTGGGCCATGGAAAATCCCTGCACAAGCGAGACTTTCTGTCTCATCTTCATGGGGTGCTTTGAATGTTGTGTATGAGTATTGGTCTACCAAACTTCGTACCACTTCATGGGCGGTTGAGGTTTCTGAGCGGGTTCGTCAACATATGATCCGCCTTTTGACTGATATGCCCCATGACTTCGAGCAAGACCTCAACTGGAGATTTTGTCCATGTTGATCTGATTGTGCGCGGTCGTCGTTCACAGTATATGTGGGAAGTCTCGGTTGTTGAGAAAGAGCCACATGATGGGCAGGTCTGGTTGTGTCTCTCTGAAGAATGGCGCGCTTGGTTTCTGACTGCTCTCTCCCGTGTTCGGGCCCTTTTTCTTCGACTTGCGTTGTCAGGGTGTGGAGTCCTTGTCCTCTCCTCAGTTCCTGGTCGTACGGTGTTGACTAGGGTGCAGGATGAATTTGGCTTCTCAAGAGCTTTGGACCTGTTTGCAGGTATCGGAGGTTGGCAGGATGGTGTAAAGTCTGCCTGGCCGGTTTCATTCGTTTCGGTTGAATGGGACAAAGGTACAGCTTTGGCTTTGGCCACTTCCGGTGGTGTCCCTCTGATTTTTCCTGACCAGTTGGACCCAATCGTGGCAGAGACAGATTTTGTCCTTTGCGCGGACGTTTTTGACGAAACATGGTATAAGGTTTCTCTGGTTGCTCCTTTTGATGTGGGTTTTTGGAGTTCCCCTTGTATATCATGGAGTCGTGCCGGTTACGCGCAAGGACTGGAATCGGATGAAGGATTGAAAATGCTTCAGGCTTTTAGGCTGCTCGCTTTGCTAGGCGTGTCGCGCAATGGCTTGGCTATTGGAGAAAATGTCTATGGGCTGCGGAATCACCCACATTTTGCGGTTGTTGAAGGTTTTGCACAGTTTGTGGGTGGGCACACAATGCAAGTGCTTACTCATGACCTTGCTATGGTGGCGCCGATGAGACGGCTTCGGGTGTTCCTTGTGCAAAGTCCTCGCACGGTTGATGCGGTCTCCTTTCACGTGGAGGATTCTTTCCCTACCAGTTTGGCTGCTTATAGGTCGCAACACCTATTACCGGTTGATCTGCTACTTGGTAAAGGCTTGCTCACCTTTTTGGTTCAGGACACGGAAGGGCAGGTGCGTTATTTGGACCACTTTGAGGCCGCGAGGCTCTTTGGTTTTAGAGTTGACGTTGTTTTGCCTGCTACTCCTGATCGTGCAATGAAAGCAACTGGCAATGCGGTTGCTCCTGCGTCAGTCTTCGCAATTGTGAACTCAGTTATCCAAGCTAATTGGCCAAAGGATGCTTTCCTTGGTGTCGAATTTGAGGTTCGCTTACTTGCCCTTCTCTATGGACAACGGCCGTTGTTGTGTTTTGAGAGGGTGTCGGACGCTCGGTTGACCTTCCTAAGACCTGGGGGGCTCCACATTGATCTCATGCCTTGGGAAAGCCATGTTGGTATGTTGTGGGTTGGTGGCGCCCTCCCGTTGACAGGTTACGGTGCTGCGAAAGATGGACTTTTTCACCGGCGTTGTGACCTGTTACCTTATGGAGCTGCATGGCCGGTCGCTGAGGTGCAGTGTTTTCTGCGTGACGATGTGATCTATTTCTACCCTTTCTTTCGATTGGGTTGTTTACATCTGGAATCCGCTTTGCTGCGCATTCAACCTTGGTGGACGGTTGGTGACATCGTGTTACTTTTTCCTCTGTCTGCGAGAAAACATGCGTTGGCTCAGATTGGGCTTCGTCGTGATGTGTCAATTGGCTTGTCTTCGGGTACCAATACCTTTTCTCTGCGTGGGTCACTGGTCGAAGATCTTCAGCAGGTTGTCCTCTTGTGTGAGCATGATCGTCGTGTGACGGTCGAATGGCGTGGAAAATCTTTTGCGCAAGTCTTGGATGAGGTTTTTCCTTATCATATGAGTGGGCAGGTTTGGAAGTTTTGGGACGCCATGTGCAAAGAGTATGTACCACTGCATGTTGCTGCAAGTGCGGGTGTCTTTCAGGTCCTCTTTCGTCCGGTGAAATATCTGGTCGAACCCTTTGGCTTCTTTTGTTTCCATCCTTTGATGTCTGTTGCCCAGGTTCAGCAGTTTTGAGGTTTTTCTTGTTTCGCTGGTCGGGCCCATGTTCATCTGCACGTTGACGGTCGTTCAGTTGAAGGCACTCTCCCGGTCTGCCTAGCGGATAAGTTTGGAGTCATGCGAGGCCGAATTTACCCACTGCGTGGCGGGGCACCATCCTTAGTTGGCGTTGAAGCGACGCTTGCGGATCTGCTGAAAGAGCGTGGGGTGCGCGCGTCCGATGCAGCTCCCAAAGCATCTACGCTTGTGGAACGGGCTGGACTTGATCGTGTTGCGGAGGCCGTGAAATCAAAGGATCCTTGGTATAAAGTGAAGAACATTGCCACCGAGGTTGGGCTTGTACTCATTCCCCTTGCCGATCGGGCTCGAAGAGGTAAGGATTGGCTTGTTGATAATGATCCTTGGAAAAAGAAACCAGTTGATGGTTCAGGCGCGGCTGGTTCCGCCGATAGTGTTCAAAAGATCGAGGTTGACTTGTCTTATTTTGCAGTTGATGATCAGGCTCCTGGAGAAATCTCAATTGACGATTTGTTTGCTGGTCGACCGGGCATTTGTGTATGTCAAGCTGCCGATGCGGCAGGCTTCTTACAAACCATTGCGCAACGGACGGTTAGCGAAGAAGCTTCAGCCCTTCTTGTCATTGGTGAGTTGCAAGGATTGTCTGCGTGGGCACAAGACAAAGTTACTTCCTTGGTTGTGCCGGTGCGGGTTGGTGGGAGGCCTGCAGCGGCTACGGCAGCCCTGTTCCAGACAGGTGATGTTCCGCTTGCCATCCCAAAGCAGGTCTCTGTGTCTGCCAAAGACGACAATGCGGCCAAGGTTACTACCTTGACTTTCCAGGTTGTGGTTAAGTTGGCGCAGGAGCTACCGAAACCTATGACTATCCGTGCATATTTGAAACACCTTGGTTTGGAATCTCATTTCCTGATTCAGGAGGTCTGGTCGACGGGTTGGTTTTGCAAGGGAAAGAAGTGTCCTGAAACTCAGGCTGATTATTATCACGGCTTCATGAAGTTTCCTGATGACCGTCTTTCGAAATTGCTCCGGTTCTCTGGTCGAGCTGGCTTCTTTTGCAACCCGCGTGATGCTTCCCGCGGTCCAGACAAACGTTATAAGGTTATCCCTGTTGGAGGACTACAATGTTCTGAGGCGCTCGTGAAGCTTCGGGATTTCCCTCAACACGCTGGTTTGGTTAAGGCGAAGCAGGGTTTTGGCATTCGGGTGCCATTGGCTCACTATCAGGCTGCGAAGGAGCTTTTCACACCTGGAGCCCCACAGAGTTCAGACAGCGAAGTTGATGGCCCGCGGCGCTTCTTTGTGATGGGGGTGCCACGCTCTGTTGATAGGTCTCGGCTGAAATCTGTGTTGAAGGAATTTCATTGGAAGGCGGAAGTGATTAAGTCGACAGGAGTGCAGACTTGGTTGGTGCGAGCATCTGCTCCGCCACCTGCGCGTGCTTTCCAACTTGATGGCGTTAGTGTCCTGATTTCAGAAGATGACACCCCCTCGTCAGCTATTGTGGCGGGGCAACTACTGTCGGCGACACTGAAGAAGGTTGCAGTCGGGGTTGCGCCGGCGACATTGCCACCAGTTGGTTCTGGTGCGGTGTCTTCGGTGCGTGAGACTCGGTTGTCGTCACTGGAAAGCCAACTGGCCACTCTGCAGCGCGATGTGAAGGAGCAAGACGAACAGCAAGGCCTACGCTTGGACGCTATCTCCTCCCGGACTGCGCAATTGGAGCATGGCGTGTCGCAGCTTTCTTCTACGGCGTCGTCCTTGGGGCAAACAGTGTCCGACCGTCTGGATCAGGCTTTTCAAAATTTTGAGAAGCGTCAGGATTCTCAACTTGCAGATGTCATTCGTCGTCAGTCTGAAATGATGCAGGCTTCGGAGAAGGTTACAGCGGACCGATTGAAGTCTCTGCAGGATTTGTTATAGGCCATTCCCCGAAGTGCAGGGCTGTTGAAAAGGCTGGTGAGGGGCACCCCTGAAGTTTGCTGTTGCCAACCCTACGCAACTTCTGGGGAAAGAGGATGTGTTTGAGGGTTGGCAGGTTGACGTGGGTTGCTTTAGTGAGACTTCGCATACGGCTCGGGCCTCAAGGGTTATTCGGTCTTCGTTTAAGCGTCTTGGTTTTCGTTGTGCCTTGGGGCGGCCGGTTCCTGATAAGTTTCGGGTTGACAATCCCGTGGGGAGTTTGCGAGGATTGTCCAAGGGTGTTGCTGTTGTCTCGAGGTTTCCGGTCTTCTCTCGAGAAACTGCTTTGGTCTCTGCGGAAGTCTGGGAGTCCTGTCGTTTGCTCCATGTCACGGTGCAGGCCTGGGATATTCCAGTACATGTGCTTGTTATGTATCTTGCGCCCAACGCGATTTTGGGCTCTTTGAAGTACGACTCCAACTGCCGCATCGTTGCTGCGGCAGCGTTGCTGGCAGAACGGTTGATGGGTCCTGTGCTTTTAGTTGGCGACTGGAACTGTCCGGCAGATTCCTTCGAGGCTGTTCGCTTGTTGGGATCAAATTATGGCTTTGCTGATCTGGCAGCCTTGTGGTCGGAACGCGCAGGGTCACCTTTGGAACCCACGTGTGCAGGTGCGACCCGCCATTCCTTTGCTTTTGGAAATACAGAAGTGCAGCGCTTTCTGGGGCCAGTGGAAGTGCGTCATCCTTTTGACTTGGACAAACATGCGGTTCTGGTTGTGGATGTGCAATTTCCCAGGGCGAATCCGACCGTTCTCCGATGGCTTCGGCCTCAGCCGTTAGCTGACCTGGTACCAGACGTGGAGCGATTGTCTTGCCTAGGTGGTGAGGTGTTGCCCAAGTTGGCAGAGTCGGTACGTACAAGCCTTGCTGCACACCGGCCTGATGAAGCGTTGTTGTCGTGGGCTTCAACCGTTGAGCAGGTTGTTTGTGATGCTGCTGAGGTCGATGGCCGGACGCGGCGTGCTTTTGTAGGACGGTGTTCTACGGATGGCCCAGTTGCCATGAACCTTGCCCCGCCTCGAGTTCGTTTTGGTCGGCCTGGGGATGTGGCGTCTCCACTTCTTTCTCTTACGCTTCAGCAGAGGCGCTGGCTCCGGCAGGTGCGTCGGCGCAAGGCTCTGTTGAAGTTGCTTGAAGCTCTGGAAGTGCGTGGAATGTTGACCGGTGATCTGGCACGTGTTGGTGCTTTGTGGCGCGCTGTTTTGGCTTCGCCTGGTTTTGGTCATTCCTTTGCAGGTTCGCGGTTATTTTGTCCCGTCTGCCGTCCCTGGGTGCATTGGTTGCGTGAGGTTGGGTCCTTCCTTGAGTCGGCACTTCAGGATCTATGTCGCCAGTTTGAGTGCAAAAAGAAACGGATGTTTGTTGCTGACCTTGAAGAAAATTGGAAGAATCAAGGTGGCTCTTTACCCTTTCGGCTGATTCGTGATGAGCAACCGGATGCAATTACAGCGGTTACTGTTCGTACGCATGTCTTGCTTGCGGCACAACGGTGGTCTCCCCTTGGTCTTGAGTGGATCAAAGTCCAGTCGGTGGTCGGCCTTCATGTTGGGCAGGTCCTGGATGGTTTGAGGCGTGTTGTCGTTCGTGCTGTGGAGGCACCTTTCATTCAGTTGGACGCTCGTTTGACAAGGCGTGAAGCAGCTAGTCTGTATCTTGATGTCTCCAGTGCTGACCCGCAGGATTGGGTTCCCCATTTCCTGTCTGGGTGGAATCGATATTGGCAGAAGGGATGATGCGGAGTCCCTTACGGTTGAGCAACGGGCATTGCTTGACTTGATTCCAGAACGGGATCCGGCTCCTCTCTCTCCACTTACATTCGAAGATTGGCACCGTGCAGTTTCTCGTACCAAACATCATACTATGCCGGGTGTAGACGGGTTCTCTCAGGCTGACTTGGCTCTGTTGCCGCCTCCTCTTGTGAAACCTTTGCTGCGGATCTTTTCTTGGGTTGAGGCGGACGGCTCTTGGCCTAAGCTGCTTTGCATCTGGCTGGTTGTTCTGTTGCGCAAAGTCCCGAGTGGCCCTGTCACATGGGATTTGATTGGCCTGATTAGTGTGGCCGGTCTATTGTACCGCGTGTGGAGCAAAATGCGCACGGCTGCTATGGTGCGGCATGCTGAATCACTTGCTTCTGAGACAGTGCGGCTCACGTTGTCTACACGGTCGCTTTGGGGTCTTGAACTTGATTTGCTTGATCATTTCGTTGCGGCCAGAAAACCGTGCTCCGGTTTTGTTCTTGACATTCTGAAAGCTTTTAATGTTGTTCATCGTGGGCTCCTGCGTGGTCTATTGCAACGCTTGGGTTTTCCAGGTCCTGTGGTTCAGGCTTGGTTCAAAGCTTTGGCTTGCTTGAGACGGCAAGTGTTGGTCGGAGGCTGGGTCTATGGTGATGAATGTGCTACCACCGGCATCCCTGAGGGGGACCCTTTGTCCGTCGTCGGCATGTATATACGTACTGGCTGTTTTGTTTCGGGCCATTGTCCATCGGTTTGATGCGGATGTTCTGGTACTCACGTACGCTGATAATTGGGAGGTTTTACTCGATCACTTTGACCGCCTTCCTCCGCTGGTAGATCATATCCTTCGTGTCATGGATGTTCTGTGCTTGCCTGTGCAGCTCTCCAAGTGTTGGTTGTGGTCCTTGTCGCCGGCTGGGCGTAAGCAGTTGCGTTCCCTGCGTTTTCGCAGCCAGGGTATTCCGGTCCTGTTGTCTGCCCGGGTATTGGGTGCTGATGTGGCATATAGTTATCGTCGTGCTGCAAAGGTCCGCAACACGCGTGTCAGGCAGTGTCATGCTCGGTTTTTGAGGATTCGTGCGTTGCCGGTCTCTCGGGTCCTCAGGACGCAGTTGGTCCTTCGGGGTGCTTTCCCCGCGGCGTTACTGAGGCTACGGTTATGCCTGTATCTACCTTTCGGCGCCTTCGGACTCAGGCAGTTAAGGCGGTCGGCTTGTCTGGTAGCGGGGTCAATCCTTGGCTCGCGGCTTCAGTTGGAGCCTCTCAGGTGGTGGATCCACAATGGGTTGTTTTGCTGAGTCGAATCAGGTTCAGATCCGTCGCGACTTTCCTGGTTACGGTCACATTTCCTTGGAATGCCTTGAACGGTCCAGGGGGAGGTTTCAGGGAACGACCAGGCAGTTGGTCAGAACCTTGGGCGCCCTTGGTTGGTCTCGTCGGACGCAGGAGACCTTTGTGGATTGCCAGGGTCGTTCTTTTGATCTGCGGTTGTCCTCCATCCTGCACATTGGGACCTTACTGCTCAGCACATGGGCGGACCACGTGGTTCAACGAGTAGCTATGCGGAAGGGGCTTGAAGGTCTTGAGTCTCTTGACATTGA